GGCGGGGTCGCTCGGCTCTGAGCAGCCGGAGCTCCGCGCTCCGTGTGCGTTGGCAGAGGAAAAGAAAGGATTTTTTTCCTTCCTTAGCTCCGAGAGAATTTCCCACATTTGAGTAAACGGATAGTTACTGCGCTAACAGCAAGCTGAAGAAAATAAGTCTTCTGGGGTCTGCTGTGAAAGCAGAGTCGCTGCCACCCTTCTCTGGGACTGAGGCGGGGACTCGGCTGGCTCGGTGACTCTTTCAGGCTGCCCTGGGACGTGCTGCAGGGAGGCGATGAGCCGGGCCGGTGCCCGCGCGCTCGGCCTGCTGCAGGTCGGACAGTAAAGCTCGCGTTGCTGGGTTCCCCTGTGACTTGGGGAGTTCTGTGCTTCGGTGGTTCGAATGGTGGCGGGTGGGAGAGGAGCTGCTTTGGGTGTGATTGGAAAGAAGGTTTGGCAGGAACGCTTGGAGTGAAACTGAGCTTACGGTAAAAACGTACCACAGCTCAGTTCTTCCTTTTTAAATCGAGGAAGGTTATCTGTAGTGACAGTTCCTGAAGCAATTTTTTTCCCCACAAATTGCTTGCCTGCTGGTTTGCTGGCAGCAATGATGTTAGCAGCATTTTTTTTTGCTTTTAACTGTCTCAATAAAATGAGGACTTTATTCTCAATTACTATTCCATGGTAGCAGCTGTAGTTGCCACACAGATGCTAGTTCTACTGTAAAATTAAGAGTAAAGGAGGTTATCCTCAAAATCCTGGGGAAGGCCCTAGCAGTTTTTGTTAGGGTTTTAGTGATGATACAGAACTCTCTTCCTACTTGGTTTTGTCTGCAAAGCCGAGGTGATGATTAAATGATGACTCTGTGTGTCTGGCTGTAGCTCAGCCACAGATCAGAACTTTGCTGTCTCTGTTTTTCAGCCCAGGGTGTGGGTAAGGAGGGGGCTGCACGCTTCCCCTCTCCCACCAGCTGATAGGAAGCAAGCTGCGCTGGAAGGTGCTCATGGGAGAAAGAAGATTGTAGGCCATGGTCTCCTAACGACTTAAGTTGTTAGTAAATCCACTTGCACATGCGCCACATTAAGATTTTAAAAGAGCACTAGTTACGCAATATTGTTGCCTGCTAAACAGGATATCAGCACATCATCAGCTGGTTTTCAAGATTTGATAGACATCACAGCAAAAATTTTGAAGAGAGTGAATTTAGAGGTGGAAGGATTTGAGTGTGCCAAAAGAAAGCTCTCGGCAACTGGAGAGACAGCAAAGGAACAAAGCCATTGTGCTTTGTTTATTTGAGTAGGTGATGAGGAAGGGAAAGCTTCATGGGCTGATTAGGGGAAAGAGCCAGCCCTTCTAGCTATCCTATTGTCGAGGTTTAACCCGGCAGCTGGCAACTCAGCACCAGCGAGCTGCTCACTCACCCCCTCCCCTTGCCCCTCAGCGGAGTGGGGAGGAGAAATGGACAAAAGGGGAAACTCCTGGGTTGAGATAAAGACAGTTTAATAAGGCAACAAAGGAAATACTACTAAAACTAGTGATGAAAATAATTATAATAATGAATATGCAAACAAAACTATATACAATACAATTTTTCTCACCACCTGACAACCAATTCACAGCCCTCCCCCCC